CTAGTTTTTCTGTTTTTAGTAGAGACGGAGTCTAACTTTTGCTCAGGCTGTTCTTGAACTCGTGAGCTCAGGCAATCCACCTGCCTCGGCCTGCCAGAGTGCTAGGATTATAGGTGTGAGTCACTGCACTTGGCCTGCATGAGGTCTTTATGTGATAAGGATATATATATTTTTTGAGACAGAGTCTTAATTTGTTACCCTTGGTAGAGTGCAGTGGCATCGTAGCTCACAGCAATCTTAAACTCCTGGGGTTAAGCGATTCTCTTGCCTCAGCCTCCCAAGTAGCTGGGACTATAGGAGCCCTCCACAATGACTGGCTGTTTTTAGAGACCAGGTCTCACTGTGTCTCAGGCTGGTCTTGAACCTGTGAGCTCAGGCAGTCTACCTCAGCCTCCCAAGTGCTGGGATTACAGGTGTGCCACTATAATAAGGATATCAATGGATTTTTTAATTGTTTCATCTTATAATCTAGTGGAATTTTTCATATTTATAGAATTAGATATAGCCATCCTTTATTTGTTAGCATCTTGCACTTACTTTCTTACTGTTAATTTTTTTGAGATAATATCGCTTTCTCTGTTGCTCCTTGAGTAGAGTGCAGTGACATGATAATAGTTCACTGTAACCTCAAACTCTTGGACTCAGGTGATCTTCCTGCTTCAGCCTCCAGTAGCTGGGATTATAGGCTGCCACATCTGGCTGATTTTTTAAATTTTTCAAATTTTTGGTAGAGATAGGATCTGTTCTTGCTCCTGAGCTCAAATGATCCTCCCATTTCGGCCTCCCAGTGTGCTAGGATTATAGGTGTGTGCCAGTACACCTCTCCTTCTTGCTGTTAATTTTTTAAGCTAAAAGGCTTAAATGATAACACTATAATGTTAATACATGGTCAGTGCAGAAAACTTAGAATATACAGAAATGTCCAAAGAAGAAAAATTTCCTGAAATAAAAAGCTGCCATCATCTTACTATCCAGAAATACCACCATTAATGGTACTCAACACATAATAGACGTGGAATAAATAATTGTTTAATAAATGAATAAGTTAAAATTTGGTGTAGCCTTTTTTTACAGATATAAAAGAGCTATCAGCATAACAGTCTTTTATTAATGGTTTTCTTTTTTGTTTTATTATGAATGTTTTTCCATAACAATAGTCCTCTAATTTATTTTTTCAGCCATCCCACAATCCCATTAAGCCAAGCTTGCCATCAAGAACCCAACATTCACCATGATGCTGAGCACAGAAGGCAGGGAGGGTTTCGTGGTGAAGGTCAGGGGCCTACTCTGGTCCTGCTCAGCTGATGAAGTGATGCGCTTCTTCTCTGATTGCACAATCCAAAATGGCATGTCAGGTATTCATTTCATCTACACCAGAGAGGGAAGACCAAGTGGTGAAGCATTTGTTGAACTTGAATCCGAAGATGAAGTGAAATTGGCTTTGAAGAAGGACAGAAAAACCATGGGACACAGATATGTTGAAGTATTCAAGTCCAACAGTGTTGAAATGGATTGGGTGTTGAAGCATACAGGTCCGAATAGTCCTGATACTGCCAATGATGGCTTCATCCGGCTTAGAGGACTCCCATTTGGCTGTAGCAAGGAAGAGATTGTTCAGTTCTTTTCAGGGTTGGAAATTGTGCCAAATGGGATGACGCTGCCAGTGGACTTTCAGGGGCGAAACACAGGGGACGCTTTTGTGCAATTTGCTTCGCAGGAGATAGCTGAGAAGGCCTTAAAGAAACACAAGGAAAGAATAGGGCGCAGGTACATTGAAATCTTTAAGAGTAGCTGAGCTGAAGTCCGAACCCACTATGATCCCCCTCGAAAGCTCATGGCTATGCAGCGGCCAGGTCCCTATGATAGGCCAGGGGCTGGCAGAGGGTATAATAGCATTGGTAGGGGAGCTGGGTTTGAAAGGATGAGGCGAGGTGCCTATGGTGGAGGGTATGGAGGCTATGATGACTATGGTGGTTATAATGATGGATATGGCTTTGGGTCTGATAGATTTGGAAGAGACCTCAATTACTGTTTTTCAGGAATGTCTGATCATAGATATGGAGATGGTGGGTCCAGTTTCCAAAGCACCACAGGGCACTGTGTACACATGAGGTGGTTACCTTACCGAGCCACTGAGAATGATATTTACACTTTCTTCTCACCTTTTAACTCCATGAAATTGGGTACACATTGAAATTGGACCCAATGGCAGAGTTACTGGCGAGGCAGATGTTGAATTTGCTACTCATGAAGATACTGTGGCAGCTATGGCAAAAGACAAAGCTAATATGCAACACAGATATGTGGAGCTCTTCTTAAATTCTACAGCAGGAACAAGTGGAGGGGCATATGATCACAGCTATGTAGAACTCTTTTTGAATTCTACAGCGGGGGCAAGTGGTGGTGCTTATGATAGTCAAATGATGGGAGGGATGGGCTTATCCAACCAGTCTAGTTATGGGGGTCCTGCTAGCCAGCAGCTGAGTGGTGGTTATGGAGGTGGTTATGGTGGTCAGAGCAGTATGAGTGGGTATGACCAAGTTCTGCAGGAAAACTCCAGTGACTATCAGTCAAACCTTGCTTAGGTTGATAAGGAGCACTAAACAGCTACTACAGAAATAAAAGCTGTGCATTTATGGGAGTTGAATAGAATGGGAGGGATATCTAGTATATCCAGTATGATTGGTATAAATGGGAAATATAATTGATCACTCTTGGTTAACTAACTAACTTTCTCTTTCTTTCTTTCTCTCTCTTTCTTTCTTTGTCTTTCTCCTTTTTTAAGAAAACAAAAATTAAGTTTAACAGTTTTGCATTATAAGCTTGTGATTCATGCTTACTGTAAAGTGGAAGTCAAGATTGTTTTAAAACTTCAAGCTCAGTAATTTTGAACACTGAAACATTCATATAGGACATAATAACAAAGTTCAGTATTGACCATAACTGTTAAAACAATTTTCAGCTTTCCTCAAGTTAGTTATGTTGTAGGAATGAGTGTACCTAAGCAGTAAGCGTATTTAGGTTAAAGCAGTTTCACTTATGTTAAATGTTGCTCTTACAACCACAATACATTGAAAACTTTGGATGCATGTTGAGAGACATGCTTTTCTGTAAGACTAAAATATAGGAGCTGTGTCTACGATTCATAGTGAAAACATTTGGCATGTTTGTTAATTCTAGCTTTTTTGTTTAATATCCTGTAAGGCACGTGAGTGTACACTTTTACTTTTTTTTTTTTTTTTAAAGATCTGGGACAATTTTGAGATGTAATACCAATACTTTAGGAGTTTGGTCGTGTCGTTTGTATAAAATTCTGAGGCTTTGATTTAAATCTTTCCTCGTATTGTGATTTCCATTTAGATGTATTGTACTAAGTGAAACTTGTTAAATAAATCTTCCTTTTAAAAACTGGAAAACAAAACAAAACAAAACTACTCTTTTGCCATGGTTGGGGAGACTTGGTAGCCAGCTGTGTGTAATGGGAGAGATCTCTGGAATGTCACTGCTTCTTAAATAGCTTTTAGCCAACAACACACTTTGTTTATTCCTATTCTTCCCTTTCTAAAAGTACCTTGGTGCCTTTGATTTTGAGCCTTTATGGGATTCTGCCATATAAAAAGCTCACCTTTCCCTATACCAGTTTAGGATTTAGCTTTCTTGTGTCTGCTAATTCCTTTAATATGTGTCCATTAATTTCTAACCTCTAACATATCCTTAGTTTTATGTCTCATCCTGTTTTCTTTTTCTTTGTGTTTATGCCTTTAAAGAAGAAAACAATTCCTTTGTTGAGTTTTATTGGGGTTTAAGAAGGGAGTCAAATTAAATGTATTTCTTTTTTTTTTTTTTTTGCAGTTTTTTGGCCAGGTCTGGGTTTGAATGTGGCACCTCTGGCATATGGGGCTGGTGCCCTACTCCCCTGAGCCACAGGCACCACCCTAAATGTAGTTCTATCCTATGTATGTTTGTCTGAATTATAGTTTTTGTCACATAATATGTGTTAGATTTTTTTTCCAAAATTGCTATGTTTTCATAACTAATTTTTCATAACTAATTTTTATTAGTTGCTTAATACTCTGTTTACTTCATTGGCCATAATGCTAGATATTTAAATTTTAGTTTCTTCTAATTTTTTATTTACTCTGTTAGGCTGAAGTGAATATCCCCATTTATAGAGTTCTCTCCTTTTAAAAGAATATTTTCTTAAAATAGATTCCTAGGAATGAAGCTCTTTTGAAGAAAATAATTTTTTAATGTAGAATCTGAGTGTTGGTTTTACTAAACATTTGGCAGCATTTGCTGTTATAATTTGCAAAAACAATTCTTTGCTTGTTAAATAATGTAAAATAGCAGTTTTAGTTGGTTTCTGTGGGGGTGTGGTTAATGTCAGGGTAGAACCTTTCTCCACATTTTTGGTAATTGTATTTCCTCATTATTTCACTGCCTTTTTGTCCTTTGTTGTTGTTGTTTATTATCATTGTTAGTTCTTTTTTATTTTCTTTTTAAGACAGAGTCTCACTCTGTCACTCAGAGTAGAGTGCCATGGTGTCACCGCTGACAGCAACTTCAAACTCTTGGGTTTGAGCAATCCTCTTGCCTCAGCCTCCTGAGTAGCTGGGACTATAGGCATGTGCCATTATGCCTGTCTAATTTTTGTATTTTTTAATAAACATAAGGTCTTGCTCTTTCTTGCTCAGACTGGTCTTGAACTCCTGAGCTGAAGCAATCCATCTGCTTCCCAGACTGCTAGGATTACCTGAGCCACCATGCCTGGCCATCAATTTTAGTTCTTAGATTTTTTTTTAAATGTCAATTTTTAAAACTTTTTATATAGCCAGGCATTGTGGTGGGCACGTATAGTCCCAGCTACTTGGGAGGCTGAGGGAAGAGAATCACTTAGCTCCAAGAGTTGGAGGTTGCTATGACCTGTGATGCCACAGCATTCTACCGAGGGTGACAAAGTGAATCTCTGTCTCCAAAAATAAATAAATAAATAAAATAAAACTTTTCATAATACTTCGGGTGTTAACCAGTTTTACACATTTGGTACAAATATTTTCTCTAATTAGTTTACTATATTGTTGCTATTTTTATTTTCCTTTTTTTTAAGGTTATATATATTATTTCAGAATATTAGGAGGTACACATTTGTTTACATCCTTTGTTTTTGTACAGACTGAGTCAAAGTTATAGGCATGCTGTCCTCCCAGAAAGTTCTCACTATATCTAATAGGTGTGAGTTACTCATCCCTCCCACTTCCCTCAGCTTGATTTTCATTGAGATTTACTTCAATATGTGCACTTAAATGTTGATGGATTAGTTAGAGTTTGGTATTGAGTACATGTATTTGTTTTTCCATTCTTGTGATGTTTCACTTAGAAGAATGGTTTTTTTGTTCCATCCAGGTTGATGCATAAGATAGTAGATTGTCAGTTTTTTTATGGCTGAGTAGTACTTGATGGTATACATATACCACATATACCACATTTTATTAATCCATTTATGTATTGTTGGGCACTTGGGTTGTTTCCATGTCTTTGTAATTGTGAATTGTGCTGTTACAAACATTCGTGTGCAGATGTCCTTTTAATAAAATGACTTTTGGATAGGTCTACTTTAAGTTCTTTGAGGTATCTCCATATAACTGCATAGAGGTTGTACTAGTGTTTCTTAGTTGGCCTTCATCAGTAATCTCAGATGTGCCTGCCAACATGGTCTTCATCAGAGGCATCTTCTCCTCTATTTTTAATATGTAGTAAAAATATTGTATATAATCACATCTGCCAACTGTTACCTTTATTTCACTTATGAAATTTCACATCTTTACTATTATATATGTATGAGTAACAGCTCTTCATTTATGTCTTCATATTTCTACTACTCAACCTTTTTTATTCACTGAAATTTATCTTGGAGTGTAGTAAAAAGTTAGGATCCAAAATTACATTTATAAAAAAACACCAAATTTACATTTATTTGTTTTTGCTAATTCAGTATGAGCCAGGAAATTTTTTCCATTATTAGTTTTAAAAAATATTTTAAAAATATAATATTCTACCTCATAAATTCTATTCTACCTCATAAATTCTGTTTTAATTATTTTTCCATGTAATCTTGCATCCTACACTTGTGTGTTTTCTCAGAAAAACTTGCATTGCATCATATGAAGTACAAGACTTTCTTCTTTTAAATTAGTTTGTTCCTCTTTGGTTAGTTAGGAAGTGTTTGTACACTTTTGTTTTTATGTAATAAAACTTCAGAATGTTGCCATCTTGAGATGTGGTTATCAGGAAATTGCTAGCAACTATGAAATGCTCAATATATGTAGTAAATAAATAAAATGCTTAGACTTATTTTATGTTTATTTTTAGATGGCCAGATACAGTTCTCGGTTTTAATAATTTTTGTGTGTATGTGCTTTTGTTTGGTTTTGAGAAAGTGTCTTGCTGTGTTGCCTGGGCCTGGAGTGCAGTGGTATAATCATAGCTCACTACCACCTCAAACTCCTGGGCTCAAGTGATCCTCCTGCCTCAGCCTCCCAAGTAGCTGGCATACAGGCTTGTGTTACTATGCCTGGCTAATATTTTTTTTTGTTTTTTTTAGGGATGGGATCCTGCTATGTTATCCAGGCGGTTTCCTTCTCCTTTTCTCTCCTTCTCTACCAACTTACCCCTATTCCCCTTTCTTCTTTTTTTTCTATCACAATCTTGCTCTATCACCCAGGCTAGAGTGCCATGGCCTAAACATAGCTCACAGCAACCTCAAACTCCTGGGTTCAAGCAATCCTCCTGCGTTAGCCTCCTAAGTAGCCTCCTGAACCTACAGGTTCAGGCTACCATACCTGGCCAATTTTCCTGCTTTTCTTAGAGACAGAGTCTCGCTTTGCTCAGGCTGGTCAAGCAACCCTCTGACCTTGGCCTCCCAGAGTGCTAGGGATTACAGTGGTGAGCCACCTCCTGGTAGTCTGGTTTCTTAACTTCTGGCCTCAAAGGATCGATCCTCCAGCCTTGGTATCCCAAAGTCCTGGGATTACAAGTGTAAATCACCTGGCTTGGCTTGTTTTCTTTTTTCACTAGAATGTCAGTTTCAAATATATGTTCTCTTAAGTTTTTTTTCCTTAATGTCTCTACAAGTAGTAGCCTTGTTTTGTTTGAACCAGAGCATTTTAGTGAAAACATTTTCCTCTAATAAACAAGTATAAAGACCTTTAGGTCTTTAGATCAGGATTTCTTGCTAACTATAACAATAGATACCCTCTCTCTGTTGACTTTATGAAATGAAAAAAATTTGTTATATATTGAAGTGAAAAGCAATCTAATGTTTATATAACCCTGTTGAATTCTATTAAACATTTATGCTAAAATAAACAGGAAGTGATATGCTATCTGTTGCTGTAGTACAATGTGAAATGTTTCTCTTAGAGCAGGAAGGATGGACTTGTCTTTCAAGAAACAGGGTGCAGTTGATTAGGTAGAATTTTTACTTATTGATCACTTGAATTTTCTGTGTTTTTGTTTGTTTTCTGTTACTGGTTAGCTTATATGGTTCTTTGAAGTACAATAATCTTTTGGTATCTTTATGGGATTGGTTCCAGGACCCCCCTGCAGAAACAAAAATCCAAGGATGCTCAAGTCCCTTGTGTAAAGTGGTGTAGTATTTGTACATAATCTGTGCACATTCTCCTGTATACTTGTAGTCATCTCTATATTTTTCATAATGCCTAATATAGTATAAGTTCTGTGTAAACAGTTGTTATACTCTATTGTTCAAGGAATAATGAAAGGGGAAAAAAAGTGTATGTTTTCAGTGAAGATACAACTACTCATTTTTTTCCCTGAATATTTTTGATCCTTGGTTGATGGAATCCACAAATGTGGAATCTACGGATACAGAAGGTCAAGTGTATGCAAGATTCTTTTAAAAAGTGGGCTTATCAATTTTAATAATAGCAGTGGTTTTCTATTTCTGGGAGAATAGAAATTCAGTGCTAGAATTTTAAAACAATAGACCTAAATGAAAATATTATACTATTTTTACAATTACAGAAATCAGGAATCAATAGGAGATTGTTACCAAGTCTAACTAAATTATATTTTTTTCTAAAAGTATAGTAAAGTAATCATTTTAGTTTTTAAATTTGTCAAGAGTCCTAGAACTATTACTATTAAAATGGATTAATTTCTTAAGTCATTTTGAAGCTGATACTTTATAGAAGTTTGGATTTAAGGCCAAACTTTTTGGTACCTTTTGTTCTAGTTTTTCTCCTGTGTATTTCTTCAGTAGCACTTTTTTTTTTTTTTGAGACAGAGTCTTATTTTGTCACCCTTGGTAGAGTGCTGTGGTATCATAGCTCATAGCAACCTCAAACTCTTGGGCTCAAGTGCTTCTCTTGCCTTAGCCTCCTAAGTAACTGGGACTTAATTTTAGTAGTTTAAAAAAATTATGTATTAAAAAAAGATTTTATTGGCTCAGCACCTGTAGCTCAAGTGGCTAAGGCGCCAGCCACATACACCAGAGCTGGCGGGTTTGAATCCAGCCTGGCCTGCCAAACAACAATGATAACTACAACCAAAAAATAGCTGGGTAGATGCCTATAGTCTCAGCTACTTGGGAGGCTGAGGTAAGAGAATTGCTTAAGCCCAGGAGTGGGAGGTTGCTGTGAGCTGTGATGCCATAGCACTCTACCCAGGGTGACAGCTAGAGGCTCTGTGTCAAAAAAAAAAAAAAGATTTATACAGATACCTTCTGTCGGCCTCTTTGCCTCTTTTCCTACTGCCCTGGTAATGGAGGCCCATTGGCTGTCTATGGTGAATGTATTGTGCTTTGTAAACTTTGTTACTTTGAAAACCCATCTTTTTCCTCTTTAATAAAGTTTGTTTCTGCCAAGTATGGTGGCTCAGGCCTGTAATCCTAGCACACTGGGAGGCCGAGCTGGATGAATTGCTTGATTTCAGGAGTTTGAGACCAGGCTGAGCAAGAGCGAGATGCCATCTCTACTAAAAATAGAAAAACTAGCCAGGTGTGGTGGCATAGGCCTGTAGTCCCAGCTACTGAGGAGGCTGAGGCAAGAGGATTACCAAACCCAAGAGTTTGAGGTTGCGGTGAGCTATGATGCCATGGCACTTGACCCAGGGTGACTGAGACTCTGTCTCAAAAACACAAACAAAGAAACAAAAAAAACTTTGTTTAATGCTTGCCTTACTTTGGGGTGTTTAGTCATTTTTTGAGCAAGAGTGTTCCAAGAACTGAGGACTCTAACATTTTAGGAGAAAGGTAGCTGCCTTGAAGCCCAGCCTTTTTGGTAATCCAAATCACCAAATCTGACTTGGATTAATTCTGCCTCACCTTTTTCATAAAGACCTTAACTTGCAGAACTGAAAAGGTCATTGAAACTCTTGAACTCAAGCAGTCCTCCTACCTAGGCTTCCCAGAGTGCTAGGAATACAGTTATGAGCCACTGTGCCTGATCTCTGATACCTGTTCAGACAAAATTCTGGTGTGGCTCCTTCAGATGGAACAGTTTGAGATTGATTCAAACCACCTAACTACCAGGCAGCGAAAAGGTTGTGGAAACATGGAGTATCACACTTTCTATAGGCTTGAGGAGTCACCTAAGGCCAGGAGTTTGATTTTCAAGTCCAAGTTCTGTTATAGCGGGTGCACCCAAGCACAGACCACCCAGTAGGCCAGCTCAGCATTTTGAGTGCCCTTTCAGTAAATGGGTCTCAGGAGTCCTGATATAGCTCCAATTGGTGTTGTGGACAAAAGTCTTACCAGGATCTTCCTATCTCTTGCTGTCATACAAGATGGTGATGACATGATGAAAAGGAGAAACCCAACTAAAGCCCCATGTTTGCAACTTACTGAAGGAAAGAAAAGGAGACCATCGTTTCAAGGATATTTTATTCATCAAGGAGAAGTACTTGATGGCAGCCAACATTGACAGTTCATGAAAAAGCTCAGGAGGTGAACAAGGCATTCACCTTGCATCCTTGGATCTACTCTTGCTTTTTCCCCTTGCTTCTATCCACAGCTATGAAATATATGTCAGAATAAATTTTTTTGAAATAAAAATAATCCTTTCTTTGAATGAATTCTTTTTAGTAATTACTTTGTTTCCTGACGACTTCATAACCATTACCTTGAAGTCACATTATAGAGTAATGAAAAAAGTAATGAAAATTTTGTACTTAACTAGGACAAAAATTCCTCAGGGAAATATTAAGTGAATGATTACAGGGAAGGTAACTTTTTAGTTACAGATTAATTGCCTTGAATGTTAAATTCAGCTTTGAAACACATTCATTTTTAAAGAAATAAACTCATTTGTGAAATTAGATTAACTGGATATTTAGGATTTAGTTGGCATGGAAGACTAGAAAACAGTGAATATTTTCTTTATTTAAACAACTTGTTATTAACTTGTTCAAATAAGTTTATTTTCACTTCTGTATACTACAGCTGATAATGCTGTTGTCTGATCTTTTACCTGAACTTTTAGTAGTACAGTAGTGACTTTTTCCAACGCTTGTGAGTGAACGGTTTGTTAGTATGTTGCCATCTGTGTCATTTTATAGTCACCTGTTTGAAAATTAGGACTAAGAGTTTAAGATAAAACAGATATGTATCTTTAGTATTAGAAAATCTAAGAGCAGGAAACTAGGAAGCAACAATATCTAAAATAGTCAGGAGAATTGTAACATACACAAGACCTTTCTCTAAACACATAAAGCTGT